GAGAGAGAGAGAGAGAGAGAGAGAGAGAGAGAGAGAGAGAGAGAGAGAGAGTTTAAATCTACGAGGTGCTGAAAGATTCTTGAGGTCATTCAAGTACGGCGACACTATGAACCGCGCCATCTATACGATCATGATAGGCTTGTGGAACCTCGGAATGTACGAGGGCGAGTTCTTTGCATTTGAGCCAATCAGCGTTCTCGTAGGATTTGTTACGATTAGCTGAACATGGGACCAACATGGCCGATACTGCCAAAGTTGTCGAGGGGAAAATAAAGTTTCGTGAGGGCAAAAAGGTATGATCTGTGCCTGTGAATTCTTTCGAGAACGCTGTTTTACAGCTCAGTTTTATGTTGTCTCACACGATCTCTATTTTATGTTTCAGTGGAAGTCCCGATGGTGTGTTCTCAAGAAACCATCCCCGGTTGCAGGTGAGTCAGAACGTTATTCCAGTACAAAAACAACCTTGCATAGACACTGACTGCCGATAGCCAGGGCGGAAAGTAAGAGCTCAACTTACATAAAAAGTCTACTCAATGTGGCTACTTTGCAAACTCTCAGCGCCGTCTGAGCTCCATTATTGTTCATATTGTATAAATATTATGTGACATTAGTCCTGTATTTCCCAAATAAAGCAACTAAGTTACTATTCTAAAGTCTAATCTAAAGTAGAGTAGTTAGTTAAAGATTCTACTGCAAGTGCAAGAGTGCTAGAGTCTAGACTCTAGATCTAGAGGTTTACTTATTGTCATTGACAAGAAAGGGAAATCCGAAAAGTGCTTGCAAAGGGCATGTAAGACCAAGTCAGTCAACAATGCTCCGGGATTTGAGAGAGTGGTGCCCAAAAACTGAATTTTCAGGAGATTGACCAAATCAGACGTTTCCATTCTATTCTATCTCTATCTTTTCCCGTTGAAAGTAGCAGCAATTCTTTCTCAGCTCCTTCAAGGCTTCCTAGTTTGGTTTAACCCTCGAAGTGTTGCTTACATTTTGCAACAAATAGTAATAGTGTGTAGTAGTCTGTGGTGTTCGAGTCAGGGGAAATTTTAGATCATAATAAAATATATGATTTCTCCCAAAATTATGTTGGAAGGTGCTTGAGAACTGGCAAACCAGGCAAGTAAAGGCTGTTATAACCCGTTCACATTTTCAGAGTGTGTAAAGTAGGAAGTAGAGCTCATTTGGAGGTAGATCTAGATCTAGTTGAAATTGAAATGATTTTGGCGATATAAAAAAAACCAGGATAAACAAATTGAAATATTTACTAAAATGACGGACCAATGAATGAAATTTATGGCTGTCTACATTTGGAGGGTTACCTTCTGTCATTAATTTAGTATTATTGTACTTTGTATATATATAATGTGTCGTGTCCCTTCTGAGTGAAAATATTGGAAATAAATTTTTATAATAGATATCTAGATAGCTTTTCTGTGAGCATCCAAGCAAAGGAATGAATGGAAAATCATGGTCGCCGATGTCTGTCGCAGATCTGGCACTGGATGATGATGATGAATAGATATTATTAGAGGTGTACCCAGACTGCAAGTCTAGGAAGAGTTCGAGAAGGTGCTAAAAATTAAAGAATAGAATAGAATACAACAAATAAAAAATAAAAAAACACCCAAGATCAGACAAGATGAATGCTTGAAGTGCTTTTATATGTCAGACTGTAGTCTCGTGTAGAGGTAGACTGAAACTGTTGTGTACGGTATTCTTAATAGAATGCTTTTAAATCTCAAGATGTCTGTACTTAAATTTGAAATAAAATTTAGTTGTCTGAGCTGTCTATAACTAATCTGCCATAAAAGCTGACAAAACACCTTTTTCTCTTCACAACAGTTTCGAGAAAAAGGTGGGTTTTTTTGTAAGCGTAATCATATAAAAACAGAGTGATTTTGAAATTTGAATTTGAATTTATTTTAAAACTAGTACACTTTGATTTTTTTTTCACACAAGTAGGGTAACGTAACTGATCAGGTTTTCGATGTAATAGAAGCAAAATAAACAATTTTGGCGTCAAAATGAAAAAAGGCATTTTGTCAGCTTATATGCAGTAAGAGTTTAGTAAGGTCTTTTTAATGAGCTGTTAGACAGACTTCCTTTCAAGTGTGTGATATTGGTAGACTTTAAACTTTAGAAATGGGCCAGTGATGGACTAATATTATACTTTCTCTAGCAATTCATGCCTTGTGATCAGTTATAATATAAAACAATGAGTAAGCATAGTGCAAGCGTAGGCTTTCTTATAGGAGCTCCTAAGAACCTTGCTACTAATCTTGAGTTTATAGATATGATGTTGAAGTTTAAAAATTGTTTTGTGCTATATTGTCTCTTGTCTAAGAAAATATTTTGTTTTGAAATTGCGAATTTGTCCAAGATATCTAAAAATTATCCTCAATTTTCTTTAGTTCACCTTCATAGCTAAAAGTTATCCTCTATTTTCTTCAGATCGCCTTCAAGTGTCTTTGTTCAAAGATGTTGTTGAGGTTTTGCGGCAGGATGCAAAACCAAAATCTGTGTTTGCCCTGGAGGGGTTTCTTGGTCTGGATGCTGGTTTTAGGCACGACAGAGAAGCTCATGTCATGGCGATCATTTGCCAGAAGAATGTGCATCTCATGGCCTTTGAAATCAGGGAAAACATGATCCAGTTTGAGATAAAGATACGCCAAAGTTTAGGGGAAGGTATGCATTACAGAATTCATTTAGTGTCAATGGCTAAGCTCAGGAAATACTGTTCTGGATGAAACTGTTGTACCAGTAATTTTAATGTTATTGCATTGTATTTCTGATGAAGTTCATTGTGTAAAAAATTCTTCACCTAAACTTATGTCACCCATAGCACGCCAGCACACCTTTTCCTGGGGTTTTTTTTTTGGTGTGGTTTTTTTCTTGTTTTTTAAATTTTTATTTGAAGATATCTTTTAAGTTCAAGTATTGTGCTTTATTTAATTAAAAAAGTAATAATAATATTTGATTAGGAAAAGAGTGAATCAACAGTTTCACGTGTTGAAAGTATTTGACAAGAAGAAGAGTGAATCGCAAAAATGGCAATGCAATTATGATTTTGTTTTATGTGTGTGCAATTTTTTAACTGATAATGCTTTTTTCTTTTTTCTACCTCACAGAACACCAGTTTCCTGTGCGTGTGGTGAAATCCCCATCCAACAGTCGGCTTCCAAAGGATAATCTGAGACTTTTCATTCATGATTCTCGGTTTTGCCTGCTTGCTTTTTCCCCTCCAAAAGTGTTTTTGTCTTGGAATGTGGAAGACCTTCGTAGATTTGGAGCAAGGGATGGGAAATTTTGCTATGAAGGTGGAACACGATGTGGCAAAGGTATGTCTTCCCATAAAAAATACAATGATTGAATCAGGTTTAAATCAAGTTGTTGAGATTATTTTAAATTTTGACTTTGTCATGACATAATAAGTCATTGGACATGAAGTTACTCCTCTGAATTCTTTTCCAAAGGTGTCAAAAATGAAATTCTGCCTATAATGTTGTAAAATTGATTTTGCAATATTTTTTTGGGTGGAATCTTACTCCTGGGGCAGTTAACTGATGGTCATAAAGTTGTAATTATATCCTAAAATTTATCCGAGAATACGACTAAACTAAATGGAACAAGTAAATGATTTTTGTGTTGAAATTGTTTTTATCAGACCCATTTCATTTATTTGTTTTTGGAAGATTGCAGGCAAGTGGATGGTGTTACAGAGTTTCTTTTCCTAATCATGCTGGTTTTCTGGGTTTTCTCCCCCCCCCCCCCTCGTTTTGACTTAGTATAATCACCAGTTTTGTTTAAGAATTGTGTACATTTTGTTCATGTTAGGTTCTGGAGTCTTTGCACTTGAATCAGAACAAGCAGAGGATATTGCTGACATCATCAATTTAGCATCCACCGGAAAAATGTCTAACTGTCATCGCAAGTTCAAGAATAGAAGTAAGTTGGATGAACAGAAATTTTTATCTGTGTCTGTGATTGTGAAGAATTACATGTTGCTTACGTGAATGGTACAATTGTGGCTTTTGCTTATTGTCCATTTCAGGTCTGCAAGGTTCTTTGGTACTTTGTTGACTCTCATTACGTAAATGTTTGACATGTGAGGGATTTTGATATTAGATGGAGAAGTAAGCAACTTGCCTTCTGAAGCCCTTTTAACCTAGAGTAATGTAAGTTAATTTAGAGACTTGATGGGGTATATTAGGTTCTAAGGTGTTATTTCCACAATTCAACTCTGAGGCAATTGAAGGTGACTTTTTCACTCTTGCAAATAGGAAACATAATTTTTGTTTTTTTTGTAACAGACTCTTTAATTCCAAAAAAGAAATGTGATAGTTTGTCACCACTTGATTCAGTTGTGTTCAGTTTTGTGGCAAGAATATCATTAATGAAGCATTCAACTTCCTAGGATTTTGCATTGTTGACTACCAACCCCCTCCCCATAATCTGTCTAACTTTTATCATGACAATCTCATAATGCATACTTGTGATATAAAGACCAAAAATGTGTATGGTAACCTGACTTCAGATCTAAGGAGACAGTTTATTAGTCATGTGTTCTATCTTATTGAATTAGTTTTGGTGTGCTGTTTTGGAGTGCCTTTGCTCAGTAGACACAAATGTATTATCAAAGGATTTCAAAACGCCTATTATGTTGGGACCCTTACTATTCCAGAGAGAAGTTGTAAGGTAAATGTTCATGCTGGACACCCCCCCCCACACACACACCTCCCTCCCTCCTGTTGAGCACTGGAGATTTGACACTCAGAAGACATCTTATTTTAATGTTTACAAGTTATTGTGCCTCCCATTTCTCTCTTTTTCTCTCTCTTTGTCTTTTTCTCTTTCTGTGTTTCTTTCTCTAATTGTGTCTGTCTGTCTGTCGATCTGTCCGTCTGTCTGTCTCTCTCTGTCTCTGTCCGTCTGTCTGTCGCCTTTCTCTCCCCACCCCCTGAACATCACTGTCTTTCCTCTGTCTTTCACTCATTTTGTGTAACTTCCACATACTTACTGCAAGTATTTGATACTGAACTGTTGTACACACTGTAATTTATTATACAAGTAGGAAAAAGATGTGTCATGTCACATTGGAATCGGGTGCTTTTCAGTTTTTGGGCCTTTGAAGTTATTGGTATAATCTTAAAGTTTATTTTTGTATTGCTTTTGATGAGAATAATACCCATCTATCTTGAAAAGAAGTGGAGATATTTGAAGGAGGCGAGACTCCTGGTTTCAGAGGTTAAATTCGTGAGAAAGTGGCTGCCAAAGTTTAGTGAGTTCCAAAGCTTGAGTGTTGTGGAATTGCAAATTAATATTTTTTATGCTATGTATTTCAGTAAAATCTACATAGAAATATGTTTTTAAAAGGACATTAAAGGTGTTGAGCCCAAATTTGTACGATAAAATCGCCCTCCATGGAGAAAAGTGTAAGTTTCTTTGATTTCATTAATTTGATGGGTGCCTGATTTCAGTGTGATGCCACACATATTCTTGAGACTTGAGAAAAAGATACTTTTCTAGTAAATCATGATCTATTCATGTCGTTTTGAAAAAAATTGGATAAAACAGGGTTTACAGCAGATTTTGAGCCCTGTCTTAGTAAAAATTCCTTGAATGATCCAGTTGAGAGTGTAAGGCAGGGAACTGTATTGAAATATTATTTTTGTTCTGAAATTATTAGGAAGAGACTGTGAAATGACTCCTCATACTTTGTTATGCTTTTTGCTATGGTTTTATGAATGAAATTAGAAGTATTTGTCACATAAACATGGGAAGAGTTTTGCGACAAGAAGCGACAAATCCCATTTTCTGGCTTTGAGAAAAATGATTTCTTTTCTTCACCTATTTACTGAATAAACTGGAGCAACTTTGTTTAAAGAGTAAAGATGATATAACGCTTGAATGTTGGATTCTCATATCTAAATTGATGAGGTCACATTTTTACGGAATGTGATATCTACATTAATTATTTACAAAATTAAATGAATTTGTATCAAATGATATTGATTAATAAAAGAGCAAATTTGGGTATGACCTGCAAATAATTAATGACTAATGGTACTGGTACGTTTAAAACGACCATGGTAATAATACCGAAACCAACAAATTGGATGATTTTTGTAAAATTGTTTGTATAAGCAAGAGGCTGCAAGTAGAATACACTTTGATTCCTTTGCAGTTTGTTTTTGTTTGAATAGCTGCTTCTTAATTTTTTGCAGCCTCAAACCATAATGCAACTTTTCTTCGCTTTAATTTCAGCAAGCGGGGACAACTTTTAAACATTAAAAAAAGATTAAATCGTAATAGTGTGACTAAGAATAATCAGGAACAGAAAGTGCAGCTGACAAACTTTTCTCCACCATATGGCTGAAGAAAAGAAATTGGATGGTGCGGAAAGAATGTGTTGGGTTTTCCTAAAAAGGCAGAGCACTTTTGTTTTTAAAAATAAAGCAGCACTTACTGTCGTTATTTAAAGTTTTTGAAGAAAACAATTATTAATTTTGGAATTTGCATTACCTTGCCAGAGACAAGTTTCGGCCAAACTTCTGAAAATGGCTTTTGTCGTGTTTTGTTGTAAAACTGTTCATGTGTTTTTTTAACTTGCAAACCAGCCTGAGGATGTTTGCAGAAAAATGTTTATTATTATGGGGTTCAAAAGTTTTTTCATGGGCTGACATAAATTGTTTCTGGTTCTGTTGATTGCAAGTGAACTTCTTCTTTCAATTTGTTGCTTGGGTAGATGGAAAATGTGCTCTCTGGGTAGAGGTTGCCTTTTGCAGCATGTTTTATTGGGCAGTTTAAGAGAACCGGTGCTCCCCACAGAACTATTGCCTTTTCTGCCATGGTATTATTCAGAAGGGCAGGAGGTCTGAGCTTTTCTGACTTGTTGCTACTCTAGTAGCATTCTTTCCATTTAGTTTTGATTAAGCTGTTTTCTTAGATTTTTTTAAAGACAGAAAAAGTATTTTTCTTTGTATGTATGATTGTTTCCTGTATGTTACATAAGATGGACCTTACTTTTTCTTCAACAGTAATCGCAGTGTTAATTGCTTGCACTTTAAATGTACCTAGGGTTCTTTTTTAAAGAAGCTCATATTTTTAAAATCATATTTTTGAAATGTAACTGCTTTTGTCCACTATTTTTGGGAGTAAAGTAGTCCAAAAAAACTCTAGAAATAAAACAAATTTGCAAAGCAAGGGGAGGTTCTACCTCTTTGCCTGTGTTTGTCTGTCTTGCGTTTTTCCCAGCACTAAATGACCATTATTGTGTCAGTGGGCTTCTCTCCTCTCAAACATACCCTGAGGTTTTGGATGAAAGTGAAATTGTTTTGCATTGGGTAAGTTAACATAGGAGTCTGAAGGAGGTCTTAATGTGGAATAAATGTGGTGGCTGCTTACTGACGTTTATGCCTTGAGTTTTGTAGGAAGAACAAGTTCTTGTGTCTGTGTGTAAGAGTGTTTTTGTATGTGTTTCCCAACTCCACAGGCTCCCAGATAGACCTTGGTTCTCATCTCATTGCTGACATGTCATCTTTACCCTCACCCTCACCTCATTATCATCACCATCACCCCAACATAGATGCCAGGGCCCCCACCCAGGGTGCCCTCCCCACTACTCTCAATTGTTGTCACAACAATCAAACTGGTAGTGCAGACTCTGAGGACTGGAGCTGGTATAAGCGTCACTCGGTCAGTGTGATGGATCACCGTCGCATCGCGGCTTTGCGAGAGAAAGGATATCTAGAAAATAGAGATCAGCTGGCAGGGATTTATGATGTCCCTCCTAGTCACAGTCGAGTGCTGGGGGACCCACCTTACCCTGACAGCCTCGAAGAGTTTGGATATTCTCGACCGCGGCCACATGCTGATGAGGTTCTTATGACTACTTCTCACGGGGCTAGTGTTGGGGAAATGAACCGGCCTGTAAACCCTTCTATGATTTACTCAGCAAATTATAAAAAGATTCAACCAAGAAAGACTGATTCTGAGCTGGTAGGAACTCATGGGTCAAGTCCTTTGGAACAAAGAAAGAAAAGGCAAAGCGCCAGTGCTGACAACCTAGATGAAAGAGATATTCGTAGAATTTTATCTGAAGGTGTTGAGCTGAACCCTGACGTCAGCACTGACAGTGAGCATCATGAGACTCTTCTTCTTCTCAGAAAGGAAGAATCAGATTTACAAAGGGAGATGATACTTTTGGATGAAATGGATGAAATACTTCAAGTCTGTGCTGCAGAAAATGAAGAGTTGACCAATAGTTTAAACAGAAGTAATCTCAGCAACATATACTCCAATAGCACTGAAAGTTCACCTTCCAAATATTCATCCCAGAGTTTCGAGGCATTGTCTGGAGCCTCAAATTCCATTAATAATGCTAGTCATTCTAACAAAGTTTCTACTGCAAAGTCTCCATTACTACCTCTTGATCAGGAATTGAAAATAATTTCTGGAAACATAACCACAAGAAAGAAGTTTGTGCCGTGCACTTCCACACCTCAGAAAGCAGACCGTGCTACGGCTTTGAGGCTGAACACCAGTATGCCAGAAGGCAACCCTGTGAGCCCCATGTTTCATGCAAAATTGCACAACATACCTCAGCGCTCCCATCTGAACGCTCCTCTGCCATACGTCAATCTGAGCCAGTATGATGATGAATCCCACAGCCACGTACACCTGCCCGGCAGCGCTGACTGTGTTCCAGTCACCCGTGGCACCAGCATGCAGGGGCTGAACACCAGACAGGGTAAACTACGAGCTGGACACACTGGTAGTTTGACAAGTCTCAATACCCCTGTTGCTGCGTCCAGTCTTACCAATTTGAGTATGGTGGCCAGAGATCGAGAACTGATGCGGCAGCGACAGATACAAAACCATGCGACAGCAGAAAGACATCAAGCTACTGAGTTTCACTGCAGGAAAGGTGTTGGCACTGAAAGCAC